CAGCAGGGACGGACACACACACACACACATAGTGGGACTCATCCCCTCCAGCAGGGGGCGGCAGGCACACACACACACACACACACACACACACAGAGCAGGGCCCATCCCCTCCAACAGGGGGCAGAAGGCGTGTAGAGACCCACACAGCCCTTTTTCTCTCTCTCCCTCATCCACACACCCGTGCGTGTTACCTGAGAGCACCACCTCCACCAAATCCCCCTCCTGGATGTCTCCGGCCACCCGCACCAGCTGCAGGATGTTGGCGGATGACAGGTCATGTTTGAAGAGCAGGATCTTGTCATAGAGCCCGTAGAAGCCGCACTCTGGGAACTGTGAGGACAGACAAACAGACAGAGAGACATGGGACGGGGAGGTCATGGCTCAGTGCTGGGGGGACACAGCAGAGCCATGTGGTAAATACCCTGCGGAGGCAATTCTTAATTTAGCCCTACATGGTGCACAGGATCCGGTCCAAGAGGCAAATACAGCTGAACCACTCGGTGATAGAGACCATATGGCGATTAAATTTAACATCAATGTAGGGAGGGAAACACCTAAGAAACCCACCACAGCAGCATTTAACTACAAAAAGGGGGAACTACACTAAAACGAGGAGGCTAATTAAATACATATTAAAAGGAACAGTCATCAGGGTGAAATGCCTGCAAGCTGCATGGAAACTTTTTGAAAACACCATAACAGAGGCTCAAACTAAATTTATGCACACACCCACACACCCCAAAAAAAACCAGTACAAGGATGCAAAAAATGCCATCACAGCAGAGTGAAATAGGCAGCTAGAGACAAAAAGACATCTTTTAAAAACTGGAAGTCAAATCCAACCGAGGAAAACAGAAAGGAGCATAAACTCTGGCAAGTCAAGTGTAAAAGTATAATTAGGCCGGCCAAGACAGAATTTGAAGAGCAACTATCAAAGGACTCAAAAACTAGCAGCAAAACTGTTTGTCAGTACATCAGATGCAGGAAGTGGGCCGAACAATCAGTGGGGCCACTGGATAATCAAGGCGCTAAAGGAGACTCAAGGAAGACAAAGGCATTGCAGAGAAGAAGCTAGGTGAATTCTTTGCATCGGTCTTCACTACAGAAGATGTGAGGGAGATTCCCACACCTGAGCCATTCTTTTTCAGTGACAAATCTGAGGAGTGGCCCTAGATTGAGATGTCAATAGAGGAGGTTTCAGAACAAACTGATAAATTAAACAGTAATAAGCCACCAGGACCAAGAGTTTTGATGGGGCTCAAATATGAAATTGCAGAACAACTAACTATGGTAGGTAACCTATTGCTTAAATCAGCAGAGAGCTAATGTGACACCAAGGCGATTACAGGCCGGTTAAGTCTAACTTCAGGATCAGGCAAATTGATTGACACTAGAGTAAAGAACAGAATTATCAGACACACAGGTGAACACGATATGTTGGGAAGAGTCAACACAGCTTTTGTAACGGGAAATCACGCCTCACCAATCTATTAGAATTTTTTGAGAGTGTCAACAAACATGTAGACAAGAATGATCCAGTGGACACAGTGTACTTGGACTTTCACAAAGCCTTTGACTAGGTCCCTCACCAAAGGCTCTTAGGCAGTCATGGGATAAGAGGGAAGAGCCTCTCATGAATCAGTAACTGGGTAAAAGACAGGAAATAAAGGGTAGGAATAAACAGTCAGTTTTCACAGTAGAGAGAGATAAATAGCAGGGTCCTCCTAGGATCTGTATTGGGCTGTGCTGTTCAACATATTCCTAACTAGTCTGGTAAAAGGGGTGATCAGTGAGGTGGCAAAGTTTGCAGACAATACAAAATTACTCAAAATAAGTCCATAGCAGACTGCAAAGAGGTACAAAGGGATCTCACCAAACTGGGTGACTGGGCAAGAAAATGACAGATGAAATTCAGTGTTGATAAATGCAGATAATAAGGCAGAGAACATTATAAGACCCCTATAGAAATCCATGGTACATCCATCCCTTGAATACTACATGCAGTTCTGGTCGTCCCATCTCAAAAAAAGAGATATGATTGGAAAAGGTACAGAGATGGGCAACAAAAATGATTAAGTGTATGGAACAGCTTCCATATGAGGAGATTGGGACTGGTCAGCTTGGGAAAGAGATGACTACGGGGGATATGACAGAGGTCTATAAAATCATGAGTGGTGTGAAGAAAATGACTAGGGAAGTGTTATTTACCACTTCAGGTAACAAGACCCAGGGGGTCACCCAATGAAATCAATAGGCAGCAGGTTTAAAACAAACGAAAGGAAGTGCTTCTTCACACAACGCACAGTCAACCTGTGGAACTCATTGCCAGGGGATTTTGTGAAGCCAACTGGGCAATGTTTATAACTGGGTTAAAACAGAATGAGATCAGTTCCTGAAGGACAGATCCCTCCATGGCTATTAGCCAAGATGGTCAGGGATGCAACTCCATGCTGTTGGTGTCCCTAAATCTACTAGAAGCTGAAACTGGACAACAAGGGATGGATCACGTGATGATGACCTGTTCTGTTCATTCCCTCTGAAGCACCTGGCATTGGCCACTGTCGGAAGACAGGACACTGGGCTAGATGGACCTTTGGTCTGAACAAGGATGGCCGTTCTTACGTTCTTCAGAGCCCCTCCCGCAGCTCACCAGACCTAACGTCCAGCAGAAGGCGGCTCCCTATCCTGTTGGCTGGCAGGGAACACCCCAAGCCAGTGCGCCTCTGCATGGGGGCATATACAGCCCAACACCCCCCCACCCACAACTGAGCCAGAGGGGGGAGGGCCGGGAGCACCCAGCTGGTAAAGCAGCCAGGCCTGCATTCAGCAACCAAAGCACAGAGGTGGCAAGTGACTTACCCAAGATCAAACAGCGAATCAATGACAGAGCTCAAAATAGTCCCGACTCCCAGCCCTGCCCCCCATCCAACCACTGGCCCCCACGCCTCTCTCAGAGCTGGGGACAGAACCCAGGAGTCCTGGCTCCCAGCCCGCCCTGCTCAAAGCCCTAGCTCACAGGAGTTGCGGCAGCTGGTGGGGAGCAGGGGTTGCATTGTTGCGAACTTCTAGCTGCCCCCAGTACCTTCCATGACTGCTGAGCCCAGCCTGGACTTTGGGGGTCCCACCCAAGGTCAGGAGCTGGGGAGGAAAGACTGGGCCCGGCGACCCATTAGTGCATCCCCTCCTCTGCTCCGAGAGCTCCCCACCCAGATCCATCGCCAAGGCAACGCTGGTGCCAGGAGATGAGGCTGGCACATGGGGTGTTTAAGGGTCTGGAGGAGACAGAAAGGATCCCAGGCCAAAGGCCCCACAGCTGCCCCGATGGCTTCCTCCGGCCAGGAGGGGACGAGGGTCTGATGCACAGGTGCCTGGGGCAGCCTGCTAGGTGAGGACGTGTTATCCCAGCAGGGCCCTGCTCTGCCGCAGACAGACTCCCTGGGCAACTCACGTCAGCTCCCCCGTGCCTCAGTTTCCCCCGCGGTACAGTGGGACTGGGTGCTCTGGCTCCCCCAGTGTCAGCTGGCAGGGCGCCCCTCCACCCCCTCCATCTGATGACAGAGCCCACAAAGGCCAGCCAGGGCACAGGGGCTAACGCGCTCTCCCTCCAGCTGCTTATGCAAATCTGCAGGGTTATTTTTGGCTCTGAGATGGCCCCGGCGAGGAGCGATCTGGTTCCAGTTGATCTCCGGCCCCTTCCTTCCTTCCTCCTGCCCAAGCAGGGCCCGGCCCGTTCCACTCCATCGGCGCCAGGAGGAGGAGTGGCCTCACACCCCCACGGATGCACCCTGATCAGCCAACTTGCGAGCTCAGCTCAGGGGAGCAAGACACCTTTTCCCTCTCCAACACCAACACCCCCCCCACCCCACCTCCACCCCACACACACGGGGACGATTCTCTGAACCCAATCCCCACTCCAGGACGGGTTCAGAGGTGCTGGGACCCGGATCAAACCACCCCGCTTCAGCTTTTGCAGAGAACCCAAAATGCCACCATGGCGATCCTGCAGAGACACCCCCCACCCCCCAAAACCGCCCAGCTCGTTCTCACGATGAGCCAAGCGACAATAAAACCCCTCACTCACAGGGGGAACTGTCCGGAGAGCTCAGCGCACATCCCCAAGGCTGGCAGGGACAGAACTAGGCCGGCTGCAGCGACAGGCAAATCGGAAAAGCAGGTTCCTCTCTTTGAGACCAGGAGGCCGAGACACAGACCGACCTGCGCTGAGATAGCCAGCCCCAGCGTGGGTGGATGGGCAGAGAGGGAGGTTGAAAGGTGGAGAGGAGGATAAAATGGAGAGACAGACGGACAGTGGATGGGTGGAAGGATGGACAGGAGGATAGATTGACAGACAGGGAGTGGATGAAGGATGGACAGATGGACAGACAGGCAATGGACGGAAGGATGGACAGGAGGACAGACAGGGTACTGCAGATGGAAGGAGGGGAAGGGAGACAAACAACCCTGCCCTCAACCTCTTACCCTTCCAGACAAGCTCCGGACGAGGCCAGTGCCCGGGTGCGGGCAAGTGGGGGTAGGGTATTACTGAGCAGAACACAGGGAAATCTTGGGACATGAAGTAAGAGCCACAGGGCTGGGATGGTGGGGGGGTGTAACCGTGATGTGCCCTGGGCTTAGGGGGTGACATGACTAAAGTCATGAAGGGCCAGGTGGGGAAGGGGCTGGGCGATGACCCGAGAGACCCCGGGTTCAGTTCCCAGCTCTGCAACAGCTCCTCTGTGCAACCTTGGACAAGTCACTTAGCTCCTCCGTGCCTCGGTTTCCCCATCTATAACATGGGGTGGGGGGGGGGGAAACAGCACCACCCTGCCTCAGAGGGAGGGCTTATGAAGATAAATACACCCAAGAGTGTGTGGTGCCCAGATACCACTGGGCTGGGGGCCACTGAAGACAGGAAGGGAAGGCTGCCCCAGAGAGCTGGGGCCAAGAAGGGGAGGGGCTGGGGTCAGCTGCAACTCAAGCTGGGTTGAACAGGGCCAAGGCCTGGTTGGTTCTGGGCAGGGGGGAGGCAGCGGAGAGGCAAGGAGCCCACGAGGGACCTCGGGGAACGGGCTCATGCCCCAGTTCTGCGGCTGCAGCCGGCTGCCTGTTGTCAGGACGTGGTTAGAAGCAGGGCTCTTGGCCTGGGGCCCAGAGCGTTCAGCGAAGGGCTGGGCGCAGGTGCCGACGCTGCACTCCCCCCGACCTCCCCCCGGTTCCTCCTCTGAGGAGCCAGGCTCCTCCATGCAGCAACAACAGCTCTGGCCTGGGCGACAGGGGCTGTGAGGAGCCACCACACAGGGAGGAAAGTGAGGAACAGCAGAGGCCAAGTG